ATAATCTAGACGTCTAAATAATTTTTAATTAATTTCTAATAAATTTAATATTTAATTTAATTTATTAAATTTTTTTATAAATTTATAAAGTTAATAAGTAGAGAAAAGAAGATTGTAATTTATTATATCTTTAATATTTATAATTATTTATTTAATTATATAGATAAAGAGCTTAAAACATTAAGAAGAAAGAGAGTTTCTTAGAAAAAAGAACTTCTTAAAGCTCTTAAAGCGATTTATAAGAAATTAATTATTTATTATAATCGAATTTAATTAGATTTAGACTATCTATATAAATAAGTTATACTTTTATATCTAAATTATAATAATATAAAATTAAAAAAATTAAATTAGAAGATTAATATTAGAAAGTAATTATAGATAAAGATCTATTAAAAAGCGCTTAAAAGAATATTCTAAAATTATTAAAATATTAATATAAATAGTTAATTATAAAGAGTTAAGCGAATAAATTAATTAAATAAAAATACGCTTAATTAAGTAATAGAATTTGAGATTAAGAATTTAAATAATAAGAATAGATATAATTAACTTTAATAGTATAGAAGAAATAATAAATCTTCTAATTATTATTCTAATTATAATCTTATTTTTAATCTTTATAAAACTTCTTTTAATAATCTAGCGAATCTTTCGATTCTAAAATAATAAAAGAAATTAAAATCTAAATATATTATAATTATTTAAATAAATTATAATATTCTTTATTCTCTCGCGAAGACTATTATATATAAGCGATATTTCTTAATAATTAAAAGATATTATAATACTTAAAAGTATTATTTATTAGCGATATTTTATATTTTAATAATAATTCTTTATATAAAATATTAAGAAAATAAATTTAAATAAATTAGACTTAATTTTAAAGAAGATCTTAATATATTAAATTAGACTAAAAGAGCTAATAGTACTTTATATAAAAATTTAATTAATAATTATAATAATTATATTAGCGAAGATAATAAGCTTATAAAAAGTACTTTAATAAGTCTAATATTTATAAATTTATTAAGATATATCGCTAATATTCTATAATATATAAAGAAATAATTAATAGACTTATAATTAGAGAGAGTTAATAATAATAAATTTAATCTTAATAAAAAAGATCTAAAATAATTTAAAAAGTAAATTTATTTATAAATAATTAATAAGTTTAATTAGATAGAGATAGATTTAAGATATTTAAAAGAATTAAGATAAAGTAAAATAGAAGAATAAAATAGAGTTTAAAAGAAAAATAAATATAAAGTTTATTAAGCTTATTTAACGCGTTAAGATAAATATATAAATAAAGATAATTATAAAATTTTATTTTTATAATATTTAAAGATTTAAAATTTAGAATATTCTTTTATATTATAATTTTAAGAAGAATAATAAAGACGCTTATAGTTCTAATTATTATTCTAATTATTACTATTAATAAAAAGATAAATAACTATATTAAATTACTCTTTATATTCCCTCTCTCTTAATAAAGAAGAATAAATATATTCTATATATCTTAGTCGGATTATTCTATAAATATAGAAATCTCAACCGGGATATTCTATATATATACTATATCATAATATAATATCACAGATATATCATATCGTGAGATATTCCGCTAAGATCCCGAATCCATATTAGAAAAATGAAATGATATTCGACTCTACTCATATTATACTCGAATACGATATAATATTACTTAATATAAAATATTTCATAAAATATATTATATCTTTTCGGCTAGTACTTATAATTATTAAAGTAAAAGAAGATTAAATATTACTTATTAAAGTTCGCTCGATAGCTCTAAATAAAAAATAGATATATATTATTTAATTTTAAAATAACTTTTTTATTTTCTATTAAAATTTTAAGATTTTTTTTTAAAATATAAAATGTAATATAGAATTTTAAATAAAAAAAGAATTATTAAATTTAGTCTTATAGATATTTAAAGATAAAGAATTTAGATATCGCTTACTAAAGATCGCTTATTAAAATTTACTCGATAGCTTTAATTAAAAAAAATGTTTATAAATTTAATTTATAGATCTTTACTCGTTATTTTATAATATAATATTATAAATATATTATCTTATAATATATATTATTAAGATCTCGAATCTATATTAAAAAAAGATATAATATTAAATTCTTCTTATATTATATTCGAATATAATATAATATTACTTAATATAAATTATTTAATAAGATAAATTATATCTTTTTAACTAGTTATAATAACGATTTTAATAAAGTTTAAAACTATTTTAATTTATTCTCGATTTAAATTTATAAATCTTTCTCTCTAAAAAATCGTAAAATTATAAAATTATAAAAATCGTAAAAATTATAAAAATCGTAAAAATCGTAAAACTAATAAAAATTCTATAAACTATAATAATAATAATAATAATAGTAAATATATAAAAACTATAATAAATATTAAGATTAACTTCTTATTAATTAAATCTAAGTTAATTTAAAGTTAATTAATTCTTTATAAACTTATAATTAATATAACTTCTCTTTTTTCTATTTAATTTTTTCTATTTTCTTTTTTAATTATAAAGCGTAGTTTAAGCTTTTAAATAAAAAAGATTTATTAAATTTAATCTTATAAGTATTTTAAGATAAGAAATTTTAATATCGCTTATTAAAAACTTATTTACTCTATTTAGAATATTCTTTAATATAAGCTTAAATAGTCGAGTAGTAATAATTTTAATAAAATTCGAAACTATTCTATACTATTCTCGATTTAAATCTATTAATCTCTCTCGCTAAAAAATTCTAAAATTCTAAAATTCTAAAATTCTAATAATCGTAAAATTATAAAAGTTATAAAAATAATAAAAAAATAATAAATTATAGAAATAATAATTATTATTATTATAATAATAATAATTATTATTATAAAAATATAATAATAGATATTAAAATTATCTTCTTATTAATTAAATCTAAATTAATTTAAAGTTAATTAACTCTTTAGAAACTTATTATTAATATAACTTCTCTTTTTTCTATTAAAATTTTACTATTATTTTAATTAATTATAGAACTTATTTACTACTTTCTTATAATTTATAATTTATAAAGTTTAATCTTATAATTCTAAGTAAATCTTAAATTAAAGTACTTTTACTCTTCGAGAGTCGAATTTAGTCTCGAAATTAGATTTAAAAATTAATTACTTTTTATAAATTTAATTTATAAATTTAAACTTATTATTATTAAATAAAATAACTTTTTTATTCTCTATTAAAATTATCTAATTTTTTTAAGAAATTATAAAGAGAAGTTTACGCTTTCTAATATCTTTAAAATTTTAAAATTTAATTATATAATTATTAAAATATAAGAAGTTTAAATATCGCTTATTAAAGTTCGCTCGATAGCTTTAATTAAAAATAAGTATATATTATATAAATTTAAAATAACTTTATTATTTTCTATTAAAATCTTTTAATTCTTTTTTTAAATTTTAGAGCGTAATTTACGTCTTTTAATAGTTTAGAAAATTTAAAATTAAGTCTTATACTTATTTAAAGATTAATAGTTTAAAAATTGAATATTTAAATTCGCTTATTAAATTTACTCGATAGTCTTAATTAAAAAAATCGATTATAAATTTCATTTATAAATCTAAACTCGTAGTTACTAGTCGAAAAGATATAATATATTTTATAAAATATTTTATATTAAGTAATATTATATCGTATTCGAGTATAATATAAATAGAGTTAAATATTATTTCATTTTTCTAATATAAATTCGAAATCTTAGCGAGATATATTATAATATAATATATCTATAATATTATATTATAATATAATATATATATAGAATATCTCGATTGAAATTTCGATATTTAGAAGTATAAGTAGTTATTCTAGTTATTATTCTAGTTAATAACTATAACTATTACTATTATAACTATTACTATTATAACTATTACTATTATAACTATCTATTATAGCTATTTCTATTATAACTACTTCTATTATAACTATCTCTATTATAACTATTTCTATTATAACTACTATATAATAATAGACTATTTTAATAATAAATAATAGTAGTTATAATAGTAATAGTTATAGTAGTAATAGCTATTAAAATATTAGATATATAATATATAGAATAAACGAATTAATTCTCTAAAATCTCTTCGAGACTAGGTTCTAAATATAGTATAAAATTAGATAATTAAAAAATACGATAGCTAAAATACGCGAGAGTTATATTTCGATAATAGATATAGTAGTAATAGATATAATAGTAGTAGATATAATAGTAATAGATATAATAGTAATAGTTATAATAGTAATAGATATAATAGTAATAGCTATAATAGTAATAGATATAATAGTAATAGCTATAATAGTAATAGTTATAATAGTAATAGCTATTATATCGAATTTATCGAGTTATTAATTAGAATAATAACGAGAATACTTCTAAATATAGAAATCTTAGTCGAAATATCTTATATATATATTATTTTATAATATAATATTATAGATATATTATATTATAATATATTTCGCTAAAATTTTATATTATACTAGATATAAGATTATATAAATCTTAATAATTTATATTATATTAGAGTATAATATAATAAATTAATATTTTATATTATATTATATCTTTTCGATTAATACTCGTATTTATATATAAAGAAAAAATAAAATAATTAAAATTTAGCGTATTCGCTTTTATAAGTTTTAAATCTTAATCTTATTATTAAAAAACGTAAAATAATAAAATAAATATTCGAATTTTTTTTTTTTTTTTTTCTCTAAGTTTTATATATTCTTCGTCTTAATATTAATTCCTTCGCTCGTTTAATTATAAGCTTTTTAAATTTTAATAAAGAGTAATACTTTAACTCTCGAAGTATTATTAATTTCGTATTTAATAATATAATATAATAAAACGCTAATACTAGTTCGTTTATTAAATATATTTAATTTCTAAGTAAGATCTAGCCTATAGAAGTTATATAGATACGTTTATAAAATAAAATCTCTATAATATATAAGATAAATATAGACGGCAAAGCACTGATGCTGTCGCGGATACGCTAAGACTTCCACTGCATACCAGTAAGAGGCACATGCCATATACTCGCTCAGTAAAACCACCTAAATCTTTCCGCCGCAGGCCCATCCCTCAACTCCTCCGTCGAGACGTCCCTAACATTCACCTTCCCTTGCTTGGCATCCCTCCGCTTGTTGTCAACGATCATCCACGCTCCGAGCATCAAAGTCAGCAAGAATCCCATACCACCGAAAGCGGCGGTGGTAGCAAGCGCGGGTATGTATTTTGGCGCATCTTTGTTCTGGAAGATGTTGGAGCTGACCACACCCATGAGGTTTGCAAGTGGTACCGCGATAGAGGTGAGAAGAACGCGTCGACCTTCGTGGGCGATGTTGTTGTTGTACCACTAAGGAAGTGAGCATAAGCGCTAGCCTGTTTCCAAAGTGAAGAAGCCTATACGTACGACATCAAGCAGCACAGACGGGGCGGATGTTCCCCTTTAGGCTTGCTGTTCAGCAATCAATAACGATTGCCACATTGTATTTGTGCTTACCATGTCATCATGAAGCTTGCGAAGTAGGCCACGTGAAGCTCCTTCTCCACATCAATCGCGACATATATGCAAAAGCCAATGAACGTAAACAAGAACCCAGCCGCTACAAACGGGAACCGCAACCTGGCAAGATCGCTCGCAAAAGCAAGCACCAGAAGCATCACAGCCCCGGAGACGTTAGGTGCCACTGTATACAAGTTCGTCTTGACAGTAGACAGGTTTAGCAATGTGATTCAATAAAATGATTCAAAGCGGGAACAGCCTTACCCTTCTACCGCTAACCCGATTAGGCAATATCACGGACTTCGGCGAAACCTTTGCCGAAGAGTCACAAATCTCTTTGAATTTCACTTATTCTTCTTCTTTCACCACATATATATATCATAAACTCCTCCAATGATGGGGCCCTCGTTGTGACGACCTTTATAGTCATATTGCTAGGCTATTGGGCTGTGATCGCCACTACACTACGTTATAGATACGTCCCCTCAGTGGAGTACGAGCAGACCGAGTTTGATTAGCTGGATATGACTGTGGTAGTTCGAATAACTGGAATGACTGAGACATCCCTATGGCTGCGGTAGCCCAAATAGCTGAAGTAATTGAGATATCTCCATGGCTGCGGTAGCCTCGATAGCTGGAGTAACCGAGATGTCCCCAGGGCTGCGATAGCCCAAATGGCTGGAATAGCTAAGACACTTCATGGCTGCGGTAGCCCAAATAGCTGGGATAGCTGAAATATCCCCATGGCTGCGGTAGCCTAAACAGCTGAAATACCTGAGACATCTCCATGGCTGTGGTACCCCAAATAGCTGGAATTGCTGAGACATCTCCATAGCTGCGATAGCCCAAATAACTGGAATAGTTGAGACATCTTCATGGCTGCGATAGCCCAAATAGCTGGGATAGCTGAAATATCCCCACGGCTGCGGTAGCCCAAGTAGCTGAAATAACTGGGACATCCCTATGTCTGCGATAGTCCAAATAGCTGAAATGGCTGTCGAGACAAGATATCGAACGGTTTCAATTCGTCCAAATATGCATCGTTCGATAGGTGACCCTTGCCTGCAGATATCTAATTGGCTGTGATCGACGCAGTAGATCCTTCTCTTGTGTGCTCATTGCAGTGATGTACCACAATGTGATATTGCCTAGGCACGCGGAGATAGCAGGCCAAATTGTAGTGTCGTTCTCCGCCTGCTAAGTGGTGATTTGACGTGGGATTGTGGAGAGCATATAACGTGGGATCTTGGAGAGCTGAGCCGTGTTCTTGATGATGGTGGCCTTGTTGTCGCTTGGTTTCTCCGCAGTGTTCTCCGCATGTGCCTGCTGCAGTGGTTCCTCCTCTTGCTCAACTAAGTGCTCTGGCTAAGTGGCTGACTGAGTGGATAATTGAGTGGATTGATGTGAGACTGTGGAGAGTAGACCTGTTGTGTTATTGCTGCTGCTGACTGTCTCCGCAATATTCTTTCAATTTTGTATGTCTAAATAAGTAGTTACGCTAACGCCGTATAGGGCAACTTTGCAATTGAATCACTGTTTTATAATATAAAACAGTGATTTAATTTATGGGTGATCGACGAGGCTAATAACTACTCTATATGGTTAGCCTATTGGATTATTACCCTTTTCGTTTTGAATCATTCTTTTGAATCACATTGCTAAACCTGTCTAGTCCCAAACCCTAACCTGCCAATAATCTGAGGCAGAAACAGTTGCACGGATTGCAATGGAACACCTAGACAGATCTCAATGCCTAGGATTAGCCAACTCGTGTGCTGTTTGAAAATCGCAAGTGAGTCTCTTAGGTTGAACTTTTCATTGACGATAGAGGAGCTGTCTGTTTGCATGCGGTAGTAGGCGAGGTCTTTCTCAGCGTAGCACAGCAGTGGTGATGATAGAAAGCGTGTAGATTCAGTGGTGGGGCCATCAGCCATTATGTAGCTGATGGAGAACAAAGCACTACTATCTATGGCTAGCTACATGAAAGGAACAATGATGGAATATGCATGGAAGGATGTAAAAGGGACGCATGCATAGAACATAGAAGGAACTAGACACGCTGATAGAAAGCGTGTAGATTCAGTAGTGGGGCCATCAGCTATTATGTAGCTGATGAAGAATAAAGCACTACTATCTATGGCTAGCTACATAAAAGAAACAATAATAAAATATATATAAAAGGATATAGAAGGGACGTATATATAGAATATAAAGAAATTAGATATATTAATACTCTCTCTATCTAGTAATATTCAAATACCTCTATTTTAAGATTAAAATTATATATTATTTTAGCTTATTAATTTAGATCTTTATTTACTAAGTCTATTATTTTAATAAAATTATTAAAATTTATAATAATTAATACTTTAATAAGACTATTAATCTTTATATCTTTTATAAATATATATTTATATCTTAGCGTTTAATTAGCTATTAATTTATATATAAAATAATAATTAATATTAATATAACATAATCTTTTATAATTTATAAGATTCTTTACTAGATTAATAGCTCTCTTATTATTATATTATATTATAAATAATTTATTTAATTATTATTTTAGCTTTAATAGAATATATTATATTTATATTATATTTTAAATAATATTAGAAGTAACTATATATTCGATTTTATATATAAATTATACTATAATCTTCTATTTAATAAATCTTTAATTAATTAATCTATTATTTAATATTATAATTATTTTAATTATTAATTATATTATAAATATTTTATTAATTTAATTAATATCTAAGTAGTTAAATAATTATAGTATTATTATTTTTATAATTTTAAAGATTACTTTATATATTTTAATTTTAACTAAATATTATAATATTCTCTTATATATTTATTAATATTAATAATTTAAATTAAAAGAGAATATAGCTAGTTTATTAATAATAAATATTATATTTAATTATATCTAAATAGTTAAATAATTAATTTTCTCTAAATTACTTTTAAATATAATAATATCTTCTAAATTAGCTATATATATATTAAATATAAAAATAAAATAATTATTTATATTTAATTTTATTAAAATAAGTAAGATATAATACTTCTCTATATTATAGATTATAAAAATCTTATTAATAAATATAAGTTAATTTATTTAAATATTCTTATTAAATAATTTCTCTCGATCTTTATATCTAGATAATATATATATAAATCGAGATTTATAATATTAAATTATTTATATAAAAGTCTCTTAGCCTAGTTAATTAATAATTAATTATTAATAATTTTAATATTATCGATATTTATAATTAGAAAAATAATTTCTTTATTTAATTAATAAAAAAATAAATATAAATCGAATTATAAATATATAAATTTAAATTTAAATAGAAACTTTACTAGCGTATTATATTAATTATAATTAAATTATTTTAATTTATATAATATTCTAAATAGTAAATAAACTCGATCTTAATCTAATTTAATAAAGTCTTTTAGTTATTTTATTTATATTTTATATTTAAATTTTATATAAAAAAATATTATTATAATATTAATTAAATTTACTTTCTAATTATAATATATAGCTAGAGTTAAGAGAATCTTTTATATAATTAATTTAATAATATTTAAAAAGATTTTATTATAATTAATATCTTCTTATTAAAAAAGATTTTTAATAATATATTTAATTTTATAGCGTAGAATTTTATTATCTACTCTTAGCTTTTTCTTATAATTTTTTTTAAAGATAATATAATATATTAGTCTTAATACTAGCTTTTATATCTTTATCTTCTATAATAAATTTTATTATTTCTATATAATAGTTATTTATTAAGTTACTTTAAATTTATTAATTATTTCTTTATAAATATAAGATTTAATATTAGTTATAAGTAATATAATCTATATTAACTTAATAAATCCCCTCTTTAGAATATCGAAATTAGTCTATTTATTATTTTAAATAATATTATAATTTTTTAATATATTCTTAATTTATTATAAATATTTTAATAAATTAAATATAGATATATTTAGAATTATACTCTTTTAATTACTTAATTTAAATAAATTCGAAATATAATTAATCTCGAGATTTTCTAGATTTATAGATAGATTTTAGATTATAACTCTAGAGTCTTCTTTAAATATATTTATTATTATTTTACTATTTATAACTAATAAAAAAGAAGCTTCTAAGAATAATAAAATTCTTTTAATAATAATAATAGTATTTATAATATTCTTATTCTTTAATATTTTACTTAATTTATTTTTAATATTATTAGAAAATAAAATAAAAGTTTAAAGAGATCTTTATAAGATATTACGTTATTATATTAAATAAGATTTATTTTAATTCTATAATTAATATTAATTAGATTTCTTATAATTAAATAAAATATATTTAAACTCTTATTTAATTTTTTTTTCTTTTATTTATACTTATAATTATAAGCGTAAATCGTTATTTTAAATAATCTTAGATAAGCTATATTTAGCTTCTTTTTAATAAAAGCCTTATATAATATTATAGCTATCTTTCTTAATAAAGTTATAGATAAGTAGTTTATATTTAGAATAGCTATTCTAATTACTTTAATTTATAAATTTAATAATAGATCTATAATTATTAACTAGATATATATCTTCTAAGTAAGAATACTATTAATATATTTATTAATATTATTCTATTTAGATAAATCGAGTATAATTAACTCTTATTATATATTTTAGAAAGCTAGTTAATCTCGAATTTTCTTATTATTATACTTATTATTATTATTAGAATA